CAAAAGAGCGCCATCGTGACGCGATGCGCGGTAGCCGCGGATGCGTCCGGCGCCGAGTGTGTCATGGCATTGTAAGACCCTTTGAAACGCGCGCATGCGTTCGGCGCCGAGGGTTTCGTGGCATTGTGAGACCATGTGAGACTTGCGGAAAAGGCTCGGCGCCGAGGGTTTCTTGGCATTGTGAGACCCTGTGAATTGCGCGTGTGCGTTCGGTGCTGAGGGTTTCGCGCCTCTGCGAGGGCACGTGGGTCGCGCGGACGTGCTCGGCGCCAGGAGTTTCGGGCCATCGTGAGACCTTATGAATGGCGCGAATGTGTTCGGCGCCTGGGCTTTTGTGGCGCTGCGAGACCATGTGGGACTTGCGGAAGGGCTCGGCGCCGAGGGTTTCGGAACGATTTGGGAGCCTTGAAGACCACTGGTTGCGTTCGGCGCTGAGGGTTGTGTGCCATTGTGAGACCATGTGAGGCTCGCGGATGTACTCGGCGCCGAAGGTTTCGGGGCGATTTGGAACCCTTCGAGACGCGCCACTGCGTTCGGCGCCGAGGGTTTCATAGCACTTTGAGACAATGTGAGACTCGCGGATGTGCTCGGCGCCGAGGGTTGCGGGCATTTGAGACCCTTTGAACTGTTTGAGCCCGCTTTGAGACCGCCATCGGACGCGCCTGGTGTGTGAATTTATACAGTGTCGTGCAGATTTTGAGACTCACCCGGCACTCGTCCTTTACAATACTAAATTTGGAGTCGGACAATCTCAAGGCGGTTCGAGCGCGGACGGAGCCGCCGCCGAGCGGATGGGGCCGCCGCCCAGGCGCAATCCAAGCGGTGCAGCATTTTAGTCAACCTTCTGGCCCACGTCAGCTCGACGTGCGTGCAGCGCTGCATGTGACTGATGTGAGGTGCCGTTGATATCATGCGTGCTCAAATGCTTCCATGCGAAACAATGAGGAATTTCGTTTCCAACTTGTTTTCTCCGTCTGTCCGATTCAGTTCGAGAAGAAATTCTTGGAAATGGATTTCGCGCTCGCCTGGGGGACACGTTCATCGAAACGTCGCCATCGAGTTTTCAGCGGTACTGTATGCCTTGCGCGAAAGCGCGATGTCCACATTTTGCCCAATGCGTGCGAACGTTTCGGTCCCATTATTTTGGCAGCACTCTGCCTCGCCCGACAAAAGAGCGCCGTCGTGACGCGATGCGCATATGCGTCCGGCGCAGAGTGTGTCATGGCATTGTAAGACCCTTTTGAAACGCGCGCATGCGTTCGGCGCCGAGGGTTTCGTGGTACTGTGAGACCATGTGAGACTTGCGGATGGGTTCGGCGCCGAGGGTTTCTGGGCATTGTGAGAAACTGCGAATTGCGCGTATGCGTTCGGCGCTGAGGGTTTCGCGCCTCTGCGAGGGCACGTGAGTCGCGGCGACGGTCTCGGCGCCAGGAGTTTCGGGCCATCGTGAGACCTTATGAATGGCACGAATGTGTTCGGCGCCTGGGCTTTTGTGGCACTGCGAGACCATGTGGGACTTGCGGAAGGGCTCGGCGCCGAGGGTTTCGGAACGATTTGGGAGCCTTGAAGACCACTGGTTGCGTTCGGCGCTGAGGGTTGTGTGCCATTGTGAGACCATGTGAGGCTCGCGGATGTACTCGGCGCCGAAGGTTTCGGGGCGATTTGGAACCCGTCGAGACGTGCCACTGCGTTCGGCGCCGAGGGTTTCATAGCACTTTGAGACAATGTGAGACTCGCGGATGTGCTCGGCGCCGAGGGTTTCGGGCATTTGAGACCCTTTGAAACTGTTTGAGACCGCTATGAGACCGCCATCGGACGCGCCTGGTGTGTGAATTTATACCGTGTCGTGCAGATTGTGAGACTCACCCGACACTCGTCCTTTACAATACTAAATTTGGAGTCGGACAGTTTCAAGGCGGTTCGAGCGCGGACGGAGCCGCCGCTGAGCGGATGGGGCTGCCGCCCAGGCGCGACCCAAGCGGTGCAGCATTTTAGTCAACCTTGTGGCCCACGTCAGCTCGACGTGCGTGCAGCGCTGCATGTGACTGATGTAAGTTGCCGTTGATATCATGCGTGCTCAAATGCTTCCATGCGAAAAGTGAGGAATTTCGTTTCTATGTTTTCTCCGTCCTGTCCTTTTCGGTTCGAGAAGAAATGCTTGGAAATGGATTTCGCGCTCGCCTGGGGGACACGTTCATCGAAACGTCGCCAGTGAGGTTGCATCGGTACCGAATGCCTTGCGCGAAAGCGCGATGTCCACATTTTGCCCAATGCGTGCGAACGTTTCGGTCCCATTGCTTTGCAGCATTTTGCCTCGCCCAACAAAAGAGCGCCGTCGTGACGTCATGCGCGGTAGCCGCGGATGCGTCCGGCGCAACGTGTGGCATGACATTGTAAGACCCTTTGAAACGCGCGAATGCGTTCGGCGCCGAGGGTTTCGTGGCATTGTGAGACCATGTGAGACTTGCGGATGGGCTCGGCGCCGAGGGTTTCAGGGCGATTTAGAACCCTTCGAGACGAGCCACTGCGTTCGGCGCCGAGGGTTTCGTACCATTTTGAGACAATGAGAGACTCGCGGATGTGTTCGTGCAGCGTTGCATGTGGCTGATGTAAGTTGCCGTTGACATCATGCGTGCCGAAATTGCTTGACTGCGAAAAGTGGGGAATTTCGTTCCCAATGTTTACCCGTTTGTATCTTTATATAATGCATTACCTAATACAATGTATTATGATTATATGTGATATCGTGTGATCTAAGTTGATATACGATATCATATTATAGTCTACTAAAATATTGTTTAGTAGTGTGTATTATGGTGTAGTATAAGGTTCTATATTTTATTATAATATATCCGAAGACGAAACAATGCATTATACTACGTTATAGTACACTATAACATAACATGATACACTGCAATAGAAGTTCACAGGAGATATCATGTAAGAAAAATACAATATGGCACACCAGAGTTTGAGTAATGTAAGAGAGTATCATATAATATGAGAGAACATAACACTTCATACTATAGTATACGAATGTACAATAAATAAATGCTGATACTTACATCTACATGAATATGAGTATTGCCGAACAAAACAACAACACGACCAACAGCAACAGCAACAACAACAGCAAAAACGGGTGGTGTTTCATCGTTGTCGGCCCCTGGGGGCCTTCATTCGGCCCCAGGACCATGACAACAGAAAGTCAGGACGAGCGGTTTTGCATCGCAGGGGGGCCCTCACCAGGTCCCAGGACCGTGCAAAAATCAGGGCGAGCGGTGTTTCACCGCTTTCGGCCTCTGGGGGCCCTCATCGGGCCCCGGGACCATCAACAAAACGACTCGGGATGGAAAACCGGCCCTGGGGAAGGGGTCGGGACTTCCGGGGGCCGCGCAATGTAATAATCAGGATGTCGCATGGCTGGGTCTATGTCGACCCGATCGTTCCAGTCGATTGATATTGATTCTAGCTGGCCCAGTGGGATTCGGTTCCGACATCTCTCGGCTATGCGCAGGAGTGGCCCTGCGCCAGAGTGACCTTTGGTGCGGGTCCTTTGGGCCCCCCCATCGCTGAATGCGAACGCGATGCGACGGCAGCGGTTGGCGTGCTTGCGTTTGGTCCCCCGCCGCGCCCTCCGAAAGCCGCGCGCCAAGGGTCACTCTTGCCCAGGGTCATCCTTGCGTGTGGCCGAATCTCTGCGATCCGATGCCTCTCACGACGCTGCCCCCGCCCTGCCGACCTGAGCGACCCGATCGGGCGAGGCCCAGGACCGGGCTGAGTCGTTGCAGAGCGTTCCGGCACGCCCTCGGAGCGTTGCAGAGCCCGCTGGAAAGGCCCTTGAGATCCGACGCTCCAAAAAAATTGGAGTGGGCGGTTTTGGGCAGTTTTCGGCCTCCGGGGGCCCTCGCCGGGCCTCGGGAGCGTCAAAAAACGATTCAGGACGAAGAATCGGTCCCGGGGAAGTGGTCCAGACCTCCTGGGTCCATGCACCAAAAAAATTGGAGCAGCCGGATGTCTGGGGCCGCGGCGCCCGCTGCATCATCCAGAACCGCTTCATCTCAGAGATCCCCGATTTGTTCCGGTCCGATGTTGTCCCAGGTCTGTCGGGGCGAACGTAGCGGGGGTCAGCGCCAGCGGGGATCAGCCAATCTCCCCTGGTTGACCCAGGTTTGGGGGGCCGCGTGGAGCCGACTCCCCCCTTTCCGCCCTCCGCTGCCCCAGGCTTGTGAACTACTATAAGCGGCCGGCCGGGCTTCGCGACAGGGCCTTGCCGACCCAGGTTTGTGTTGACCCGGCGGCGGCGGTGATATCTATGGCCACTCCGCGATTGGAGTTCCACTGGCTTGCAGACCCTGCAGTTCATGATTCCTTGTCCAATGCCCTCACCGTATGCATCCGAGGTATATCCCGCTTCGATCCTCCCGCCTGCCCGAAGCGATGCTGGCTGCTGCCGCTGCGAAGCCTCGGCGGCCGAATCCGATCCATCCGATTCGATGTCGGCGCTGGCCGGCCCGATCCGATCCGATCCGATGGGGCCCGATGCTCGCGTGGCGCTGCTGTGCAGCCTGGCGCCGCCGATCCGATCCGAGCCCGACTCCGTGCCGATACGGTCCGATTCGATGCGCGCCCCGATCCGAGCCGACAGCGCGCCTCGACGCCGACCGCGAGGCCTCCCCCTCCCCCTCCTCCTCCTCCTCCTCCTCCTCCTCCTCCTCCCCTCCCCTCCTCTCTCCCTCCTCCTCCTCCTCCTCACTCCTCCTTCCTCCTCCTCCTCCTCCTCCTCCTCCTCCTCCTCCTCCTCTCCTCCTCCTCCTCCTCTCCTCCCTCCTCCTCTCTCCTCCTCCCCCTCCTCCTCCTCCCCCTCCCCTCCTCTCCTCCCCCCGCCCCCTTCGCGCCCCTCTGCAGGAGGGCGGCGCGCCGTGGGGGCGGACACCTGCCCCCCACCCCGACGGCTCTCCTGCGGCCGCGCCGCCGCGCGCCGACCGCCGCGCCGCCAGGTGGGCGCCCTGGCATCCCAGCTCGCCGCTGCCGGGAGCGCGGCATGCGACGGCCGCTGCTCCGCGCGCGCCTGCCGCCGCCGCCCGCCGCCGCCGCGGGGAGCCTCCGAGGACTCCGCGGGGCCCGTTCGGGGGCTCCGCGAGGGCCTCGAGGGGGGCTCGCCGTCGGCGCCGCCGCCCGGCGCCGGGGCCTCGAGAGGCCTCGAGGATGCCGCCTGGCTCCCTGGGGGCTTCGAGGACCTCGAGGACGGAGGCTCGCGAGGGTCGGGCGGCGCCGAAGGAGTTGGAGCGGGGCCCACGCATCGACGACATTGGAGCGCTGGGTCTGGGTCGCCGTCGCCGCCGTGGGGAGTTCAACCCTGCCGAGAGCTTCTTGGGGGCTCCGGGGGCTTCGAGGATGGAGGTTTGTGGGCCAGCAGGGGCGGGGGTTTGGGGGACGTCTCGTGCTCCCACTATGGCGGTCTTCAGGGGGTCTCTGGGGAAGCATCGATGGCGAGGACGATGACGACGACGACGACGACGACGACGCCGACGCCGACGACGACGACGCCGACGACGACGACGACGACGACGACGAAAACGACGGCGACGACGATGGCGATGGCGATGGCGATGACGATGACGACAAAGTTTGCTTGTTTCCCGTAGCAGCTTGGAGCGCGCCCGCCTGCGGGGAAACTGGTGCACAGGATGTAAGCCAGCGCAGACCTCAATGTGTGCGTCGCTAGAAAGTTTCAATCGATGTGGGACAAGATGCGTAGTGCAATCCAAACGGCGCAACGCATGTTTGCAATCTATGTTGTGCAAGATGCGTCGTGCAATTGACCCTGCCGAGCTTGAAGTTGTCAAGTCCACTGCTCGCGCACTCATCCCACCCACCCACCTGCAACTTGGTTTGCAAAACCCATGCGGCGGCGACTGCGATGATTGCTTAGCGCTGGCTGGCGCATCGCCGCGGCCGCGCTAGAGCACGCAAGCTCGGGCGCAGAGTGGTCAGCTAGTTTGGCGCGACTGATGCGGCGGCGGTGGTGCTGATCGCTGGGGACATCCCAGCGCGTCTCGCAGGCAGCGCTGACGCGCTGGCACTTCAGTGCGAGCCGGAGCCTCGCGCGGGCGCGCTATCCTGGCGACATCGAAAAAGCAGACACGACGTTGATTGAAACAGTGTTGGTGACGACGATGGTGATGTTGAAGGCAAGGCAAAGACGGTGCCGATGCCGATCACGCCGATGGCGATGATGCTGTCCACACGTCGGTGAAAATGGCTTTGACAGGGGATGTTGACATGCGCGCGATCCCGACGGGAATACATGGCCCGCGTGGTATTATTTGACAGGGGTCGTGCCCCCCCACCACCCCCCACCCCTGCAGCAAGCGCGCAATGGCGCGCGAATGATTCCGACACGCGCGCGCGCGAAAGCCAATGCATCGAATGATAGCGTCGAAATACCAATGATTTGCTGACAATTTCGCAAGAATGTTTGCGCTTACTGTTTTTTGTTTGAAAAATGTTGCAGCACCATTGTTTATTCACGTATGAGTGCTCGGGTACTTTGCGTTGAAAGCCGTACGAAACTTAAGGTTCTTGGCAGATTCCGGCATGAGCGCGCGACGACACGCGCACGTGCATTTCGTTTTGTTCGTTGTTGGCGATACGTTGGAAGGCAATGTTGGCTTTTGACCCACATGTATGCGCGAATTGTGTTTTTGGGGCCAGGGATGAAGGGGGTCATTTGCTTGGCTGGGATGGTCTGAGTTCGTATATGGAACGAGCAGTGGGGCAGCATCATATGTGAATCGCACGGCCCTAAGAGGCAGCGGCTCAAACCACGGGGTGCAGCTTGACGGATAATGATTTTCTGTTCGCGGTGGGTTGTCAGCCGGCAATCATCCCACCCATCCACCCACAAGTCGGCTTGCGAAACCCATGCGGCGGCCATTACGATGGCTGCTGAGCGCTGGCTGGCGCATCGCTGCTGCCGCTCTACACAGCACAGGCTCGCTCGCAGAGCGGCCAGCTAGTCTGGCGCGACCGATGCGGCGGCTATCGCGCTGACCGCTGGGGACTTTTTAGCGCGTCTCGCAGACCGCGCTGACGTGCGGGCACTTCAGTGCGAGTCGGTAATTCGCGTGGGCGCAGTATCATGACGACGCCGAAGCAGCTGACACGATGATGGCATCAGCGGTGATGGTGACGACGATCATGACGACGACGACATGGCCAATGACAGCGCCGTGCTGATCACGCAGATGACGATGATCTGGTCCACGTTTCGGTGTCGAAGGTTAGGGAAAGATTTCGACATGCGCGCGCGGCCGACGGGCGCGAGTGGCCCGCATGGTATTATTTGACAGGGGTCGTGCCCCCCCCCCAGCACGCGCGCGAAGGCGTTCGACTAATTCCGACACGCGCGCGCAAAAGGCCCGTTTGGTCGGATTTGATGGAAATGTTGCAAAACATTGTTTTCGTAAGATTCTGGAGAGCGCGAGCGCAGAAGTTGTGTTAAAGAAAGCATGCTGCAAAGCCATTCGCTCTTATATGTGTTCAGGACACTCGATTTTGAATTTCGCACGTAGCCCTTGGTCCTATTTGTATCACGGGATGTTTGAAAACGGATGATTTGTGATGGACGAGTGCGCGCGCATATTTTTATTTCTATTCGGCGGGAACGGGGTGGACCCGGCTTGGTTGGGATGGTACGGGTTGAAAGTTAGCACGAGCGATGGGGCACAATCGTATTTAAGTCGCGCGTCCCCAAGCCGAGCGGATAGAAACAGGCGGGAGGGGTAGATAACTTCTTGTTTCTCAAGGTCTAGACATGTGGTGCAAAATGTGGTGTGCCATCTATGCTGTGCAACATGTGTCATACCATCCATGTCTTCACAATTACATGGCCATAAATTGGACTACAATCGACTGAGCTGCAACGGGGGACGGGGGTGCAAGGAGGAGGAGGAGGAGGAGGAGGAGGAGGAGGAGGAGGAGGAGGGGGGGCGGCGGCTGCTGGCGTCGACGAGGCGGCGACGGGGCGGCGACGGCGGCAACGAGGCGGCGGGCCCGACAAACGAGCTCAGACAGCAGCCGGCGGCGAGGCGGCGAACAGCCATCGACGGCGGCAACAGGGCGGCGGACCCGACAAGCGAGCTCAGACGACGGGCGGCGACGAGGCGGCGACGGGACGGCGACGGCGGCAACAAGGCGGCGGCTCCAACAAAAGAGCCCTGACATCGCGCGGCGACGAGGCGGCGACGGGGAGGCGACGGCGGCAACAAGGCGGCGGATCCAACGAACGAGCCCTGACAACGGGCGGCGACGAGGCGGCGACGGGGCGGCGACGGCGGCAGCAAAGCGGCGGATCCAACGAACGAGCCCAGACGACGGGCGGCGACGAGGCGGCGACGGGGCGGCGACGGCGGCAACAAGGCGGCGGACCCGACAAACCCGCCGAGTTCAAAAGAAGATAAGCAAGAACCCCTATGTGCAAACAGTGTGGGGAAAAACGGGTAATGGTGCGAGACAGGACACAGATGCGCGCGTCGCTCCATCGGGGGCACCTCGACTGTTTGGGCCCAGCTCTGCTCGAAAGAGGTGGAGACATGGACGGGGGACCTGTGACCCGGGCCATCCTCGTAAGCCTCCCTGGTCAGAGGCCCTCCGTGCCTGCTCCCCGGCCCAAGCGTGCGCCCTGCGGCTGCGCGCGGTCGATCCCACAGAGCGAAGGCGTGAGCGCCGTCGCCAGCACCCTGAAGACTCACGACTGGTCCGCTGAGCCCGCAGAGCGGGGAGCCACGGCCGGGCCCCCTTCCCGAGAGCTTGCCCGCAGATCTCTCGCGGCCACGGAGGGCCCAACCGTGGTGGAGAACCGCCCCAGCCAAAACAGAAGGCGCTAACCCTCCCCCCCTCCTCCTCCTCCTCCTCCTCCTCCTCCTCCTCCTCCTCCTCCTCCTCCTCCTCCTCCTCCTCCTCCTCCTCCTCCTCCTCCCCCTCCTCCCCAGGCCCGACGTTGTTTTTGTTCATGACGCTCGCCTCATGGCGTTCGATCGCATCCCGAGGACCATCTAGCATCGCGGATCGGCTTCTCAAGGCCTTGGGCATCCCGAAGCGAGCATCCGTCGCGATTGATTCGCAAAGCGTGGAGGAAGAATTGTCCCTCCCCTCCGTGGCTGGCATCGCCACCTCCAAACGCTTCACTCGCCGACGGCCACGGCGACAACGATCATGCCGACCATCACCACGAAGGAAACGACCACCACGACGGCGGCAGCAACGTCCATGACGATCACCACCACGACAACGACCACGACCCACGACCACGACGACGACGACGACGACGACGACGTGACGACGACGGCGACGACGACGACGACGACGGCCTCCCACAGCGACCACAACGACATCGACGACGACCACGACGGTGACGACGATGGCGAAGACGACAACGACGACGACCACGACCACGACCACGACCAAGGCCACGACCACGACAACGAGCACGACTTCGACGGCGACGACGACGACGCTGACAAAGCCAGCACGACATTCTCCACGACGACGAACACTGCGACCACGACGGCACGACGTCCACAGCGACAACCACGACGGCGACAACGACCACGCCGACCGCCACGACCGCGACGACCATCACGATTACCACCTCGACGGCGATGATGACCACGGCGACGACGACGGCGACCGCCGACCACGACGACCACGACGATCACGACGACCACCACGAGGACACCGACGACCGCTACGTCGCGGCGGTCGCCGTCACCAGGGCCGCCATCGTCATCCTCAACCTCGTCCTCGTCGTCGTTGTCGGCGTCGGCGGCGTCGTCGTCGTCAACCTAGTCGTCGTCGTCACCCAGTCCGTCATCGTCATCCTCAACCTAGTCGTCCTCGTCGTCGTTGTCGGCGTCGGCGGCGTCGTCGTCGTCACCGTCCTCCCCCCCCCCCCCCGCGGCAGGCATCGCCGCCTCCCAGCGCCGCGCCGAGGCCGCCGCGCGCGGCGCCGAGGCGGCCGCAGGGGCCGCGGCGGGCCGGCTGGGAGCGGCGGGAGGCGCCGCCGGAG